TCTGCATACAGGTTGAAAAGGTGTGGATACAGGACACATCCCTGGCATACACCCTTCCCAATTTTGAACCATTCAGTGTTACCCTGCTCTGTTCTGACAACTGCCTCTTGGTCCAAGTATAGGTTTCGCATTAGCAGAGACATTTTACCAGAATTCAGCAGTTCTCCATATCTGTGCCACAGTGTTTCACTTGATTGTTTGATACCTGGTGTATTTTGTAAATTGTAGCTGTTCTGACATTTTATCCCTGAATGGTGGTAATTTTCCATATTACCGTCACACTGACATTTTTGGCAAGAGTAAATCATAGAAGAAACTGTTTACTTCATGCTGAATCACATCAAGAACAACATAATAACTCTTTGCTATCTGTAAATAATGCAAAAAATTACTGAGTTGGGGAGTAGCAGCCAGATCTCTTTGAATAAAGTTAGTGATTTTATCCCTTTGCAGCCAGCATGTGATACTTTGTCACCATCTGAACATTCCCTACACCACAGCCTGGTACTTGATGATTTAGATGTGATGATTGTTCCCTGAATCAGTTGCTTTGTTGTGTGTTGTCCATGTTAAAAGACAGAGACAGCTACCCCCTAAAATTTCCTAGATTGTAATCTTCTCAGGAGCACTGGTGAGTACTTGGTGTGTGGTACCTCGGGCTGCCCATCAAAATGTCAGCAATTTGAATCTACTAGCTGCTCCACAGGAGAAAAAGCAGTCTCCTTGTGTAAAGATTGATAGCGCCAGACACCAGTATAGAGGCCCTGTAAGTCGGAGGGTAGTCTTTACAGGAGCAAATCACCAGGTCATTTATGCTGCTGAGGTGCTGATGCGTTCATGTCACAGGGCTCCAGTCATTTCACTAGGGAATAACAAATGGTGGACTTCGTCTTCTGCCGTTCTTTATATTTTTCTTGAAGATTTTTTTTAAATTTTATTCTATTAATTTTAATGAACATTTACAGACATTTTGGATTTCCGTTCATTCATTTTTGCACTTTTTTC